CCTCGCGCTGTTTGCTTTGTCTGGACAGATCAAAGGGAAGATGGGATGCTTGGTTTGCTTGGATGGTACTACATGGGTGTACCTAGATGCATCCAAGAAGATAGTTTACCTAAGAAACCGACACTTTTTAAAGACAAGTCACAAGTACCATAGCAAATTGTTCTTTAGATTTTATGACAACGCCCCGGAGATTGAACCCCCTTCGGAGAGACATCATAACAGAGAACATGTGTACAGAATGGTGAAAAACATACGCGTCGTCTATGGAAAGAAGAATTCGGATGGGACGAGCAGAGATAGAAGCACACCTCCTGTAGAAGGTGTACCTTTCAAGAAACAATCGATCTTCTTTCAGCATTTGCCTTATTGGCCAGACTTGGAGGTCTCCCATGCCATTGATGCTATGCACGCGCAGAAGAATGTCTTTGAGAGTCTCATTGCTACCTTGATGGACACAAGCAAGTCAAAGGATGGTCTAAAAGCACGGAAAGACATGGTGCAGCTAAACGTGATGCCACAGCTTCACTCGGTACCTGAGGCTAATGAAAAATACACTCTGCCCGCGTCGTGCTGCAACCTAACACCAGACGAGAAGAGAGCTATATACACTTTCTTGAGAGGGGTCAAAGTCCCGACTGGGTTTTCAGCAAATGTGAAGAAGCTAGTGTCGATGAAGGATTTGTCAATAACACACTACAAGGCTCATGGTTGCTATATGATGCTGACAGTGTTTCTACCTATTGTAATCAGGGCTATAAAGCCAGAGTTCCTAAAAATGGCCATCACCCGCATGTGCTACTTCTTTTCGAAGATCTCATAGAAAATGATTGACAAGCAAGAGCTGAGTGACCTACATGAATTTGTGGTGGAGACATAAAACCAACTGGAGATGTGTTTACCTCCTATTTTTTTGATATAATGTCACATCTCATTATTCACATGGTTCATCAGATACAGGCGCTGGGCCCTTACTACTTGCATGAAATGTGGTCCTACAAGCGGTTCATGTCGGTTTTAAGTCGATACGTGCATAATCGAGCACACCTAGAGGGCTCCATGATAGAGGGTTACAGTACTGAAGAAGTTGTCGAGTGCTGTCAAGAGTGTCTAAAAGTACAAAAAGGGATTGGTAAACCCGATTCTCGTCACAAGGGTAGGCTGGCTGGAAAGGGCACCAGTGGTAGAAAAGTGTTCATCGACCATGATTACAAAGAGGTGAGTCAAGCATTATAGTATCTTGTAGAGTACACAACTGATGCAACCGTACATTGATGAATACTTGGCTATCATTGTGGCAGAGAGAAATGGCCGTTCGGATGATTGGGTCATGAAACAACACAAGCAACGACTAACTACATGGTTGAAGGATCAAAACATACCGTCTAGAGAAACCATAGACTCTATTACCATCAGTAGGTTGGCGTAGGGGCTATCGAGACAAGTGACATCTTGGAATGCTTATGACATCAATGGGTATACGTACTATACCCATGCAAAGGATAGTAAATATGTGAACCAAAACAACGGCGTTCGAATAGAGGCTCTCGATGGATTAGAGCGAAAGATCCAATACTTTGGCATCATTGAAGAGATATGAGAACTTGACTATGGAAGGGATATAACGGTGGCCCTGTTTCGATGCCGTTGGATCAAACAACACCAACTGAACGGGATCGGATTGAGAGTCCTGGACTTCAAGAATCTAGGCTACCAAGATGACCCTTGGGTGCTTGCTTCACGTGTCACACAAGTTTTCTATATGTCTGACCCACAAAGTAACCTCCCCTCGAAGAAGAAGACAAAGCACGTGGTTGCCTCCGGAAAACAACACATTATTGGAGTTGATGGCGTGGACGATGTTGAAGCTTACAATAACTACGATGAGATGTCGCTATTCACAGACTTTTCTAAGAAGATCAGTGTTGTGGAAAAGAACCTACCCAAAGACATATTGCTATGGAAACAAAAAGGTGTCAAGGGAAAAGTCGTTACAGCGGGCTAGCTAGTTGTTGAACATGGAGTGTTTGTGTAAGTGTGTGTTTATAAGACTTCATTTATGCATACGTGTGAGACTATATATTTATGTATGTGTGTAAGACTACAAATTTTTGTATGTGTGTGAGACTATATTTATGCATATGTGTGAGACTACCCTTTGCAACATCCAGATGAATCTATTTGAAATCACTTAACACTTTATGAAATGAAGAAATGACCAAAATAAAAGTAGAAGATCTTGATGAGTTATACAACTTTTATATTCATCATCTTTACTGCTGAAATTATTTAGTGTTTCAAAATCAGGTTTGAAGCTGTCATTTTTGAAATTCAAAATTTAAATTGTTCAAAATTTGTGACAAAGATAGATGACTAGACTAAAATGATAGAGCATGATTTTAGAAAATTTTAGAAAAAAACCCATCATATTTGGAGTTAGTATGAGGGAGAAAAACTAGTTACAAGTTTCAGCCACAGATTAAAAAGAGAAATCACATTTGTTTATCATTGATCATCATGAATAGTTATGATTTATCTTTTTAATCTCTGGGTAAAATTTGTAACTAGTCTTTTTCTCATACTAACTCCAAATATGATGATTTTTTCTCTAAAATTTTCTAAAATCTTGCCCTATCAAGTTAGTGTGTTTATTTGGTCATTCTTTTCATTTGACAAAGTTTGAGCACTTAAAATTTTTAAATTTAAAAAAATAACAAGTTCGAACGAGATTTTCAACCATTAAATGATTTCAGCTAAAAAAGTGATGAATACTAAAGTTGTATAACTTATCAAGATCTACAACGTTTATTTTGATCATATTTTAATCTGACAAAGTGATAGTAAATATTGTTCACAAATCAAAATGTTTATCGTATAGTTCATGAAACTATGAGTCATATGTGAATTTATGAACAATGTTTATTAATACTTTATCACATGAAGAAGTGACCAAAATAAAAGTTATAGATAGTGATGAGTTCAACAACTTTTATGCTCACGACTTTTATTGTTGAAATCATTTAATGTTTTAAAATCTTGTTTGAAGTTGCCATTTATTGAAATTCAAAATTTTAATTATTCAAATTTGGTCAAATGAAAATATGATCAAAATAAAAGTTGTACATATTGATGAATTCTACAACTTTGGTATTAATGAGTTTTTCATCTGAAATGATTTACTCTTTTCAAATATTATTTTAAGTTGAAATTATTTGAATTTCAAATTTTGAATCGTTCAAACAAAGTCACATGACAAGTTGACCAAAATAAAAGTTGTACATGTTGATGAGTTATACAACTTTTATGTTTACAATATTTTCATTTTATTTCATTTAATGTCATAAAATTGTAGTCAAAGTTTTAAAATTGAAATTTTTAATTTTTGTTTTTTTGTTTTCTATATTGTTTTGACTATAATTGTTTGTATATATATTTCTGCATATATAGAATAATACAAAATATTATATTTTTGCATATATACAAATTTTTTATATTACTTTGTGTTTTTGTGATATAAAAAATATAAAATTAATAATTTAAAAAAATAGAAAATATTTGTAGGGGCGGTTGGATCAAGAACCGCCCCTCCAAATGCATTTGTAGGGGCGGTTGGGTCAGGAACTATCCCTACAAATGCATTTGTAGGGGTAATTTGGATCAGGAACTGTCCCTAGAAATCGTTCTGAGTATAAATACAAGGGCGCACGGGTGTTAACCTGTTGGGCGCTCTCTTCTTCCTCCATCGCCGTTAGGCTGCCCACTTTTTCCTCGGTGCCCCGCCGACACCGCCTCCCGGACCTGTCCCGACGCCCGCGCCCCCTCTCCGCACCCCCAGACCTCTCCCGACGTAGTGGCCTAGATCCCCGACCCCTCCCCTTCTCATCCTCCTCCCACGCCCGCTTGCCGACCACGGCGGCTGCTCTCGCCGCCGCAACCCGCCCGGCCATGGTTCTCGGCGCGCGGGCCGGCTATGGCGCCCAGTTGTGGGCTCTTCACACTGCACTGGCCTATAGGGAGGTGGAGAAGTCTCGGGCTCTTGTCGATCCGTGCCTACAGCTAACCCTAACCGTGAGCCCGGCGAACCCAGATGTGGTCTACTTCGACCTGCACCACCGGCTCTTCGGCGTGAACGTCCCCGAGCGTGGAGTGGTGGACTACGAGGCCAACTAGCAGGAGCTCGTGAATGTGCCTGAGGCGCCGCTGCCGTAGACGGGCTCCAGCCGCTACCTCCTCACTTGGAACCTGCTGCGCCCAGGCCGAGGTAAGAACTACGTTCCAGCAAACTAAATTCTACTCTGCTTGCTTCTTTCTTGCAAATGATCCCTGCTGGAGAAGTTTATCTGGTAGTAGTACCTTGGTTCTATAATTACATGCTTCGAATCTCAACAGCATTAGGTGATGAATGTTTCTACAACATGTAGTTGTCTAGTATTACTGCATTCCCTAATTTAGGAGGTTTAGTTTGTCCATGAGCAGTCATCAGTACTGTCAGATGAAACTTGTGAACTAATTTTAGGAGATCTTGCTGGAAAGGATGCCTTCTAAATTTGTTTGAGTTCGTATGATGTTGTAGAATGCAGTTTCATAACCATAATCAGACGCACACATATGCTAATTGAGTTGTTTCTCTGTTTCTAATCCCAATTGCCTGAACATGGATTTCGTCGACCTGCACATATCGCATTAGCTCAACACTTTGAAGTTACACATTTGTCAAAGCTAGCAATCTAGCATGCACGTCATATTAGAGGCAATCTTGCTTGTTGTCATGAGTGCTTTATCAACCATTTAACGTCCTGTCATGATTCTCTGTTTACTAGTAGTGGTGTCCATTTTTTTCTAAGAGGGTAGTGGTATACCAGTTGATGTTGGGAACAACATGATTGTAGATTGAAATCACATTTTTGTCAATACGGATAACTTGACTATGCTGATGCTAGAAATCAAGTTTAGAGGCTCAGACTGTTCCATAAATTACCCTTTTTCATCTTGTCGTTGCATAGTTACTGGGTGCTTTTAACTTCATTATTTATGATCAATCTGTTCTTATGTGGAGGATTTCTTTTTCCATATCGACAAAGTAACACTTGTATTACAGTTTCCTTTTCAAATGACAAAGCGGAGACTGCTGCCATGACACTCTCTTCCCTCACAGGGTAATCTTTCCCCCTTGCTGTTATCTCCACACCACCTCCATGTGCCACTTGCCCACAGCCAGCCATTCTACCGGCGTTGGCTACCAGTTTAACCCGTTTCCCAATGGTAACAGAGTCTTCTAACTTGGCACCAGCAAAGTACTTGTTGCCAAACTTAGTAACAGAAATGCCACCTCCAGTAGTGTTCCAAGGCAGATTGTGGAACTTGGCATCCCCGTGAATGGTACAGACCAAATCTCTGCTTGCCGTTTGAATATCCATACCCATACCCCCCATTAAGGAGCAGCCTCTCTGAGCATTGTAACTTACTGAACATTCTGAATGGATATACATGTCTTCCTTGTCCTTTCTCATCTGTCCTGTAATTGCTCCAGGGACATTCTTTTTCAACTCTTGAGATGCTTCAAAATTGATGGCATCGAACCCAATATCATGGTCCCATCCTTGGGGATCCAAAACTGGTCTAAACAAAACTATCCCAGCATTGTGGTTGTGATATATTGGTTGTAGCAGTTTGTATGCATGTGTGTTGATACTGCTAGCTGTTGGCTACTACTACTACTCTACTGAACTACTGTATTGAACTACTACTACTACTCTACTGAACTACTACTACTACTACATCTCATTGTAGCAGTTTGCATGCATGTATATTCACTTGCCTACTGTACTGAACTACTACTACTACTCTACTGAACTACTACTACTACTCTACTCTACTGAACTACTACTACTCTACTTGCTACTGCTAGCTACTCCTACTCCTACTAGCTGGCTACTACTCTACTCTCTTCCCTAGCTGCTGGCTGCTACTCTACTTACTTCCCTATACTACCAAGTGGCTTACTTCTACTACTCTATCTATGACTACTACTGTATCTAAGTGGCTGCTGCTCTTAACTACTGGCTGCTACACTTCTCTACTCCTCCTCTACTCTATTCCTCTACTATTACTCTATCTACTATTACTCCTCCTCTACTCTAATCCATTATTTATCACATCTAAGTTACCATATTTTGATCTGCAGGGGTCTTCCAACCATGTGGCAGCAGTCAACTATTTTTTGGCTATTTTTCCATCCTCTATGTTTGGGAAGCAGCAGCTATTGTTTTACACCTTTTCCTCTCTATGTTTGTTAAGCAGCTGTTGCTTTTTTTTTTGTCAAATCTCCCCTCTCCTCTCCTTTGTTTTGTCGATGATGAAATTATCTACGTCCATACATTATATGGAATATGAGCTGATGATTAAAAACTTGTGAGGAACTTGGCATCATTAGCAGCCGCCCCTACATTACCTTCTCCTCTCTTCTCTATTTTGATGCCTTGATGCTCCAAGTTCATGATCAAATGATGATTAACATGTTTCTGAGGCCTCTACTACTGCTACTACTCATTTTTTTGATATATTGTTGTTTTATAGGACTACTTTGGTTTATAGACCTTTTTTATTTCTTATACCTTCTCGCGTACCTAAAGCACACTTTCTTGCATCTATTAGAACAAAGTGCGAAATAATGTCGCGGACACCAGACAGTGTAGCCCGATGCCCCAAGCATGATGAGCAGCCAACCTATGAGGAGCAAGCACTAGATGACCAGCTAACTCAGGAGCAGTTCGATAACGAGTTAGAAAAGGATCTAGAAGTGATGCTTACTCAGGAGCAGTGTGACGAGGAGGAAGGGGAGGCAGAAGAAAGAGCAAGAGAGGCTGCTGAAGGCGGAGAAGAAGAGGATGATGATGATGATGACTCAGAAGAGGGATATGTAAGTCCCGAGGATCTTTTCCCACGTGAAGCCAGAAGGAGGCCAACGGAGGAAGATTTGGACAAGGATTTTGACCCGAACGAGGAGGTAGGGTAAAAACCTTAGCTTATAAATTTTGCTAAAGCTTTGGCTGTGTTACCTCTGCTAACACTTTGACCCGTCGTATATACAGGTCTCTCCTCAAACTCGGAAAAGACGACGTCGACATCCGCGACATCTCGCTGGACAACACGGAGTAGAGAAAAGGAGAGCAGAGGCAACAGCCACAGAGATGGATCACGATGCCTCTGCTCCACAACCTCAAGACACAACCACGACTACCAAGCCTAAGAGGAAACAAGGGGATAGAAAAGGAAATCTATATCCAGATAAGGCATGCTATGTGATAATGGAGGTTGGGCTAGTAGGGGAGATCCTTGAGTTGAAGGAATTAAGAGGACAATTCCATAATGCAATCGGGGCCCTAGTAAGAGATAAATTGAACCCAGCAATCCCTAACTAGAAAGAGGTACCAGAGAACAAAAAGAATAAACTATGTGATAGGCAGCTGAAGCTCAATTTTAGATTTTTGGAGGGTAAGCACGAACTGATAAAAAAACGCTTTCAGGATGATGGGAGAGTCATTCCGATGTTGGAGGTCAGAGCTCAACACGAAGTATATCCAAAAGGGTTTAACTCCCTTCAATGAGTTCGGCAAAATAACTCCTAGTCAATGGGAGGAGCTCGTGGCTCAAAAGACTTCACCGGAGGCATTGGAGCTCAGTGTCTGTAACACCGAGCTGGCGAAGAGGAACAAACACCACCATCATCTAAGCCCCGGTGGCTACTATGCCAAGGAAGAGCGGTTTAGGAAGATGGACGAAGAGGCCACAACTGCTGGGAATATCGATGCGACAAATTTGAAGGTACGCTCAAGGAATTGGATATATGCGAGGAGTACAGAATCATCCGATGGTAATCTTAAGTTTGATAAGCCGGAGACCCAAGAGGCAGTATCAAGGATACTGAAATATGTTGAAGACAAGGAGAAGGGCTCATTCAATCCTTTCAGAGAGAGGAACGAGCTTAGCCTTGGTTTGGGAAACAAGGAGCACACAGGCCGCACCAGGGGGCTAGGAAAAAGGACGACCTAGAAGCAAGGATTCGAAGAGGACAGACACATGTACAAGAAACATGGCAGAGACTGGGAGACTAATCTTGAGCTCTAAGTGAAGGCTCTAGTTGTGAAGGCGCTGGAGGAGCAAGGACTGTCTATGGAGCCACGGATATTAGTGACGCCACCGGGAGAACTGGCATTAGTTGGTAGCCCCACGAAAGTTCCTAGCAGCCAAGGTTCCACTGCAGCCACAACCCCCGTCGATCGCATACGGGAACCAACTAGTTGTACCTTGGTGTTTCTCAGTGGCCGGCAGAACACTGTGATGGAGGTGGCAACGGGTGTGGCACATCCTCCCGGTGGCTTACACCACAATAATAAGATACCACCGGACTACACTAGGGTCGAGGTGCATACCGTGAAGCCCGAGTTCATGCAGTGGAGGATAGACTATGCAACTCCCGAGGGGCTGGTTCTTACTTGGAGATGTTATAGGGCAGTTCATCCTCTGGCACAAACGGGACATTATATTGACTGCTTCTTCGTCGCCTCCCCCTCTCCCAAATTTGGAGCAAGTTGTTGAGGCCGAGGAGATATTTTCACCGTCTCATGACCACCACATTCCTGAGATGCCACATTCTTCCCCACCTTCTAGCGAGCATGTGCCTGATGAGATGCCACAACCTTCTCTAGCTCGTACCGAGCAAGTGCATGATGAGATGCCATAGTCTTCTCAACAAGCACAACTGATACATGAACAACGAGTACCTCCTGAAGAAGGTGATGCACAAGAAGATGAGGACGTGCCTGAATGGGAACTTTGAAAGAAGCATCCAATCACCATAAGTCCAGTTTATGTTTCGATGAAAGACGTCTCGTCGGTGTCCAAGTGGTATTCCCATGACCAGTTCAAGCCTGAGAACCAAGTTAAAACAGTCCCACCACGGGGTTCTAAGGAGGCCATCACTAGCAAACTCCACCAAATTGCAAAGCAGTATCCAAATGTTGATGCCATCAAATGGTCAAAAGATTGCCCGAAAACATATGAAAGAGGCAAGCCCTTCCTACCAAACTGGGACATCCAGCGCCTACCACTTAGTATTACGGCAACAACAACTCTTAAAATAGTAATACACCTACTAAACCACTAAGCTAACTCTAATGACTAAGATGCTAAGCTACCCATACTTTCCACTAAACAGGAATGAAACATTCAAGTATTATCTTAGCAACCAAAAATACATTTCTTACTTTATTTATGATTTCATATATACTAAAACAAGGAGTACTTAGCTACCCTATTTATCAACATATTCTGAGGCTACAAAAATTACAGTGAGCAGATAATAATACAATGATGCTACTGTAAAAATTTCAAAGCTAAAGCTATTATCATTTTACCACAAAAATTCCTACAATAATTAACCTAGTAATATTAAGCACTCTCAAATGATTTAATAGTTCCTGGTATCAACAAATATATATATATATATATGAACTAAATACACCAATAGATAAAGCACAATTTTAGGAACTAACAAAATTAGTTTCATAATTTTTGGACATCTACATAATTTGCTATAATTTTTCAAAGATCAGCTCAAAACTAAATTAGAAAAACATTTGCTAATTCGCTGGAAAAAGGAAAACCAATTCTCGCGCGGCCCATCTGCGTGGCCCACACGGCACCACGCGCGCACGCTCGAGCGCGCGATGGCCCATAGGCGAGGCGCGGCCCACGCGCGGAGGCGACCCACGGCGGGGAGCCCGTGTGCGCTGGCACATTAACAAAAACGCCCCTGGACTACGAACAAAATAACTCATAGTCCATGTTACTATTTCTAGAGACAACCCTTATGCAAAAGAACCCTCAAACCTTTCTCCTCTTTACAATGACGAGGCCCCCGACCATCCCCGTGCGCTCTGGCGCGGTGAGCGGTGGCACTGGAGCTTACGTCGGCCACACGGGACCCCCGCTGACCTATCTACGAGGCCGACGGTCACCTAGGGTGCGACGTGAGACGATGGGCGGTGGTTGCATGAGACGAGACGCCATAGAAGGACCCCTCCATGACCGCGGACACCCTGCGGCAATGGGGACGACGCTTAGGTGAGCCGCAACAACAATCAAGGCGGTAGAGTAGCGGGTGAGCAACGACAACTCACCAGTGACCTTACCAAGAAGCTGGCTCGGTCGGAGATGACCCGAGCGAGGCTGGCCACGTGGGTGCGACGAGGTGAACGGCGGGCCGCAAAGGCATGGGCAAGTCAGCGGCGAGGAGGCAGCACTAGAGCTACGACTAGCGTGCGCACGACGAAGAGGGAGCCAAGGCGAGCTAGCGATGTAGAGGAATTGGCGTGGGGTGAAGTGGTGGAGACTGGCCACGACGTGGGCGGCGACGGGCCTTAACGGCACCACGGCGACAAAGTTCCAAAATTAGAGCTCGGCGTGACGCGAGTCAAGGTGGTGTGGGGTCGGCTGGAGAGGGGGCGTG